ACACCGGGTGGTCCCTTTTTCTTAATAACTGAGGATTAACTTATGACAGCTCGTGAACAAGGCGTAGTTAAATGGTTCAACGACACTAAAGGCTTCGGCTTTATCCAACGCGCAGGCGGTGATGACGATGACGAAGGTTCAACTCATGTTGCTCCAGCGCTTTATCTCGAAGATAACCGCTATGATCCTGCTCGTTTAGTCGAAGAAGAAGATTACGAAGAACAAAGTACTTCAGCTTTGCATAATGCTATGGAACAGTTAGATGATCGCTCACGCAACATCTTACAGCGCCGTTGGTTAGATGATGATAAATCGACCTTGCATGAACTGGCTGCAGAGTACAATGTCTCTGCTGAGCGTATTCGTCAGTTAGAAAAAAATGCCATGGACAAAATCAAAGTTGCTATGTCATCCAACTAAATCTTCAAAACTGTCTGCATACCAGACCAATAATTTATATTTTCAATAAAAGGGCGACATGCCCTTTTATTTTGCCTGATATTTTTGTCAAATCTTTATTCTTAATAGATTTTGCCTTTAATCCCGCTTCGAAATTGTGTTAATGTTATGCGCAAATTTATGCAGATGACTGGCTTATGTGGATTGCAATTTCAGCACTGAATTTAGCGCTTGCAGTAATCTTAGGTGCATTTGGCGCACATGGTTTAAAAGCTCACGCAACTGAAGCTCAGTTGGCATGGTGGCAAACAGCAACTGATTATTTTTTCTACCACGCACTGGGCCTATTGGCACTGGCTATTCTCAGTAAAGTCATCCCACAACTTCCAATCAAAGCCAGCTTCTTACTCATCCAAATTGGTATTTTATTTTTCTGCGGTTCGCTTTATGTCATGGCACTGGGTTTACCACGAGGTTTAGGTGCAATTACACCCATTGGTGGAGCACTGATGATTGCAGGTTGGCTGGTCCTTGCATGGAATGCATTGAAATACGCTAAATAAAATTATTTTGATTTTAGACATCACAATTTGCGCAATCGAATGGAATGTATATGCAAATTTTCTTAAATGGTGAGCCTCAAGAAACCGCTTGCCAAAATCTTTTACAACTGGTTCAGGAACTTTCACTCGAAGGTAAACGCTTTGCCGTAGAAATGAATGAAATGATCATTTCCAAAAGTAAACTTGAACTTACCCCTATTGCTGAAAAAGACCGTATTGAAATCATTCACGCTGTCGGTGGCGGCTAATTTGGAGCTCTCCCATGCTAGATTTTCCTACTGAAAACTCCCCTCTTATTATCGGTTCTCGTACTTTTCAATCACGTCTTCTCGTGGGTACGGGTAAATACAAAGACATGCAAGAAACTGATTTAGCAATTCAAGCCAGTGGCGCTGAAATTGTGACAGTGGCGATTCGCCGAGTAAACATTGGGCAAAATCCAGATCAACCCAACTTACTGTCAATCCTTCCACCTGAAAAATACACCATCTTACCGAACACAGCGGGTTGTTTTGACGCCAATAGTGCAGTACGTACCTGTATGCTTGCACGTGAACTTTTAGATGGGCATAATCTGGTCAAATTGGAAGTATTAGGTGATGAGAAAACCCTTTATCCAAATGTAACGGCGACACTTGATGCTGCTCGCACATTGATTGAAGATGGTTTTGAAGTGATGGTGTATACATCGGATGACCCTATTGTGGCTCAAGAACTTGAAAGCATGGGCTGTGTTGCGATCATGCCTTTAGGTAGCTTAATTGGTTCTGGCCTAGGCATTTTAAATCCGCATACTATTTCAATTATTAAAGAAAATGCCAAAGTGCCAGTTTTGGTTGATGCTGGTGTGGGTACTGCAAGCGATGCCGCAATTGCAATGGAATTAGGTTGCGATGGCGTATTGATGAATACTGCGATCGCCGCTGCACATCAGCCAATTTTAATGGCATCAGCAATGAAAAAAGCGGTTGAAGCTGGACGTGAAGCCTATTTGGCGGGCCGTATGTCACGTAAACGAATGGCAAATGCGAGTTCACCAGAAACAGGTTATTTCTTTAAATAAGCCATTTCAAATGCACCTACTTTAAGCTAAGTTTTCAATGCGATAAATGAAGACGATAAAATTTGCCTCGTGAAAATGTAATTGTTTATACAATAAAAAAACCCTTAGCATATTTATAAGCTAAGGGTTTAATTTTTAAATTTAATCTATTAATTTAATAACAATGTTATTTAAATATATTGATCTAACTGGAAAAGTTATCGCCTTTTCAAAATTTCTTGATTTATCAATTTCGTCTAATCAAAATTTATATAAATGCCTTTGGATCGAAAACACAATAAGCAATTGCATTTTTGATTCGACCTTAGTGAAGAAAGTAGAATTTCTAAAATGTACTTTTAGGAACTGTACCTTTTTGAATTTACATTTTATAAAAGGAGGTTTTAATGAATCATTATTTGATTCTTGCTCTTTCTGAAACGTAAAATTTGACACATCTGATCTATCCGATGTGAGGTTCAAAAACTGTGTATTTGAACAAGTTGATCTGAATGGTTTATTTCTTAACGAGCACAAAATAACCCTGCTATTTTCCAAACAAGGAACGATTACATCTATTGCAACAGGTAATAACAGATAAAATTCTATTTTTTATTCATTTTTACTTACCGAGCTATTCAATGTTAACAACACCATCACGATACTTAGTAACTGCAATTAGAAGAATTACAATGGCAATAACAGGCTGTTTTAAACAACCTGTTTTTAACTCAAAATGATGTCGATTATTCCTGAACAACTATACAAATTTACTGAAATTGATAACGCTGATAAACATCCACATCTTGTATTTTACGTAGTGCAGGATTCTGACTGTGCAATATTTGTTTAGCTTCAATGATAATATCATCTAAATCAAAGCCATTAATTGCTCTTCCAAGTAAAAAAGATACAGTATAGTCTGTCCAGCTTTTTCCATGTTGCGTAGCTTGTTTTGCGGCTTGTTCCATAATACTCCAAGTCTCACTTTCAGATAAATAACCACACCAATAACACCATTTAGCTAAAGAAACTGCGCGTCCGACATCCCAGGCATAAGCTGATTTGGTTTGCTCCACAAGAGAAATATCAATCCCTAGACCTTTTGCTATACTTTTTTGAATTTTCGCTAAGTCTGAAGAAGGAAGCTGCACAAAGGGTTCAAATTCACTACTCCGCTGTAATTCGAGTAAATCACCCAATACTTCTTTTGCTTCCTCAGCATTGGATATCTCCCATTGCTGTTTCAATCCATAAATGTATTGATCTAAATCATCTTCGGGATAAATACCTAAAATTTTTTCACCTCTGTGATAAAAAAGAATTGCACCAAAGGTCAGTAATCTCTCTTGTTGCCTAGTCAAAGGCGTCCCTGAATTATGATGATTAAAGCCATCCAATTGTTTCTGTTTTCTTTTTTTCATCATGGTGTGCAAGAAAAGCATATAAATGATAAATACACCAGCAACCACACCTATGATCAAATAAATCTTTATGTTCATCTGTTCTCCTTTTTTATCGTGACACTCTATTTTGAGCATTTAGTCCATAACTTTGCTTTAATTCATATCAGTTCGGTTTTCATGAACCAAGTATTCTTATGTGTGATTTAATTATCAATATAATAGATTAAGAATAATTAATTCACAATTTACAATAAGATTTAATTGTTGTCACCAATTATTAAATGATTCATTTTAAAAGTTTTAACTTGCTTAAAAGATTCTTCAAAATCTCGTTATAGGTTAAAGTGATAAAAACTTGATCAGGATATATGATGATTAAAACAATATTTTCCACCCTTTTATTGGCAACATGTTCATCCATGTGTTTAGCAAACCCAGCCACCTCATCCTTACAAAAATTTGTACCAAATAATTGGGAAATTCTTGCTCAAGCAGAAGGTGATTTGAATCAAGATGGTCAAAAGGATATTGCCCTCATCATCCAACCTAAAAATAAAAACCAGCACAATCGAAAGCTTTTAGTGCTTTTTCAAAAAGGTCAACAATTACAACTTAAGCTAAGTCGACAAATTCCTAACTGGACCTATCGTTCAGAAGAACTCTGTATTGAAGATGCTCTAGATGACTCCACATTGACGATAAAAAATCAACGCTTAGATGTGTTATTTAATACCATGTCATCCTGTAGCAATACCTATGGCTTGATTTATACCTATGGGTTTAAACTAAAAAACAATCAATTCCACCTGATTGGATTTGATGCTTATGATTTAGATAAAATTAGTGGCAAACAAAAAGAAATCAGCCTTAACTTTCTAAGCAACAAAGCCAAAGTGACCACTACTCCAAATATCTTTGCAGAAGTTGAAACGCCAGCCAAAATTGTTTGGAAAACACTGAGAACCTCGACAAGCTATACCTTGGAGAATATTCCTTGGGATAACGAACAATTTATTCATAACTTTAGCGTTCAATTTATTGGAGAAAAATAATGAAAAACAAAACTGAATTACTTTTATTTTGTGCATTAACAACATGCTCAACTTTGGGTTGGGCAGACACCAATACCAAAGCTGACTATCAATCATTTATCCCTAAAAACTGGAAAGTGCTGAGTAAAGTACAAGGTGACTTAAATGGTGATCAACAAGCAGATCTTGCTTTAATTATTGAAAATACGGATCCAAAAAATATTGTAACAAATGAAAGTTTAGGTAATCCTCAGCTGAATTTAAACAATCGAAAGTTATTAATTTTATTTAAAACCCCTCAAGGCTATCGTCTTGTTGCAAGTAATTCCAAGCTTCCCACTGAAGGTGATCAAGAATCCCCTTGCCTTACCGATCCTCTAGGCGGAGGAGAACCACTCACTATCAAAAATGGATTAGTTAAAATTAATTTACATTATTGGCTCAGTTGCGGTTCATGGTCTGTCTATAACAACGCTTTTACTTTTCGTTATCAAAACCAGTCTTTTAAGCTGATTGGTTACGATACAGATTACTTCCATCGTGCATCTGGTGAAACCAGTGCGAAAAGTATCAATTTTCTAACAGGTAAAATTAAAAACACTACAGGTGGTAGTGCGTTTGAAAATCAGGATCAAGCTAAGCAAGTTTCTTGGTCAAGATTAAAGAACAGTTATTCCCTTAAACTTGAGCAGATCAATTTTAAAGACTATGGCGAGTTTGAATAAAACACGTTTCGTATCTACCAACGATTCATAATATGCCATATTATTCTGAGAATAAATGTGTCGAAGAGGACTCGACATTTGCCATAAAAAATTAGCTAAGACAAGGTAATCAAAAATGATAGCTTGGAGAGATGCCTAAAAATAGGCATAAATTTAAAAACAAATTTACGATTCAGTGAATTGGAAGAAAACCATGAAAAATAACAATCTATTACTTCTATTTTTTACATTAACAGTCTGCTCAAGTTTAGTGTGGGCAGAAACCAATACTGAAGCTGATGTTCAAGCTTTCATTCCTAAAGATTGGAAAATACTTAGCAAAGTTCAAGGTGACTTAAATGGTGATCAACAAGCCGATATGGTGCTGATTATTGAAAATACGGATCCCATAAATATTGTTAAAAATAAATTCAATCATAAAAAGCCAGCAAATCTTCTACTTAACCAAAATGAGCGAAAATTATTAGTTCTATTTAAAGACGCTCAAACTTACCGCCTTATCGCAAGTAATTCTTCACTCCCTAGAGAAAGCAACAATGAACGCCCTTGCCTTATCGATCCATTGATTGTGGACAATTCACCAATCATCCAGAATGGACAACTTAAGATCACATTAAATTACTCGTTTCGTTGTGATTCATGGGAGGTCTTTAATAATATTTATACTTTCCGCTATCAAAACCCATCATTCGATCTGATCGGCTATGATTTACATTATTTCGATATACCATCAGGTGACAGTCGAACTGAAAGTACTAATTTTTTAACAGGGAAAATCAAAAATGTCACCAGTACGCAAGAACTTGATCGCAAAAATACACCAAAAATATCCTGGTCAAAATTAAAGAAAGTACCTTTGCCCAAACTTGAGCAAATCAACTTTGAGCGTTATGTTCAATAATGGATGTCTTTTATAAATTATTTTTTAAAAACAATAATTCAACATAAAAGAATCCCTCACCCTAGCCTTCTCCCAAAGCGAGAATGAACCTCTTAATGGTGAATTAACTTTAAAATCCTTGTTCTAAAATACGGATTTTAACATCAGCAACATGCTCTTTTACTTCAAGTTGATACGCTTGCATATGCACAGTTTGCAAGTGTGCATTGAGATGCTCAATACTTTCCCATTTTTCAAGCATCACGATCAAATCAGAATCCTTGCTTTGATAACTCACATCAACACCAGCGTCGACCAATAGCTGATAACCATGACAGCCTTGCTCTTGTAATACTATCGGGGTAATTTTCTTAAATGCTTGGATAATTTTATCTTTGTGTAATCCATTTGGATATGCACGGATTTCAGCCACAATAGTCAACATTTTAGACTCCTTAAATTTTTTAAACGAGATATTCAAAATTCCAATTTGCTTAAGCAAAAAGCTGCTGTAAATGTTGACGATATGCCTGTTCATATTGCGCAATTTGTGGTGCTTTAATCACATCATTGACAATAAACGTTTCTAAACTTTGCATTCCTAAAAATTGATTGGCTTTATGAAAAGGTAAATACACACCATCTACACCAACACCATGGAAAAATTGCTCAGGATCATCAAACGCTTGTAAGGGTGCATTCCAAGTTAACGACAACATATACTTTTTCCCCTGAATCAAACCACCTGAGCCATATTTTTTGGCAGCATCAGAACGGCTACGACCATCGTTGGCATATAAACTGCCATGACCAGTGGTAAAAACATCATCAATATATTTTTTCATGGTCCACGGCGCACCCATCCACCAACCTGGCATTTGATAGATCACAACATCCGCCCAGAGATATTTCTCTACTTCTTCTTGAGCATCGTAATCTGCATCGGTACGTGTCACTTTTACACGATGTCCCAAATCGCTAAGCACATCTTCACCTAAGGCAGTCAGGGTATCGTTTAATTCACCATTTGAATGTGCAAACTGTTTCGCACCATTTACGATTAAGATATTACTCATTGTTTACCTATGTTTTACCAATACGCTTGATTTATGGCGCAACTATAGAGCTTATTTTTATCGCAAAAAACGCAAAAATAAGCAAAACATTATTGACTAAAAATCAACAATAAATATCTTTCCCTCTTTCTGCCCATTTCACATTAATCAATTCAATAAAAAAGCACCCGTAGGTGCTTTTGTATATCGATTCAAGCATACTTAAGGAATTAAACCTTCATCACGCATTGCAATCTGTACAGATTGACGTTCAGCGACTTTATTGCGTAATGCCACAATATTGGTAAATGGGGTTAGATCATGATGAATTGAATTCGACCAATTTGTCAGTACAAACAAGTAGGCATCAGCAGGACCAAAGCGGTCATTGACCAAATAATCGTATTCAGACTCTGCAAGATAGTCATCTATATATTTCAACATTTTATCTATGGTTGCATAGCCACGTACTTTTTCATCTTCAGTGATCGCTGGGTCAAAGAAGACGGCGTATTCATCATGCAACTCTGAGTTTAAATAACCCAACCATTCTAAAACTTTAGCACGTCCCAAACCTGATGGTGGGATCAAATCCTGTTTAGGATCGTGTTGTGCAATAAAAGGCAGTACTGCAACATTTTCAGTTAAAAGTAAACCCGGATTGATTTCTAATGCGGGTACATAGCCTTTTGGATTGATTTCGTAATAATCTGCGCCCTTTTCTGTTTTATGCGTTTTTAAATCAACACGTTCTAGATCAAAATCAACATTAATTTCGTTAAGTAAAATATGGGCAGCTAAAGAACATGCACCTGGTGAATAATATAATTTCATATCTAATCCTTGTTATATGACTGTTTAAGTTGTAAATGGCTCAGATCACAATTTCAAGTCGTAAAACATAAAATTGCAAAAAGCATAAATTTATAAAATCAGCTATAACTTGAATATTCAACAAAATGAAGACTTTTTCAAGTCAAAGTTAACTGCTTTTTCACTAAAAGATGTTTTAACATACGCATCTTTAAAGAATGATGAAAGGTTTGTAGTGATTAGTCTAAAAAAAGCGGAATGGTTTTCCAATATTCGTACAGATGTACTTGCTGGAATGGTCGTTGGCTTAGCACTTATTCCTGAATCAATCGCTTTTTCTGCAATTGCAGGCGTAGATCCACAAGTCGGCCTGTATGCATCATTTTGTATTGCAGTGAGCATTGCTTTCTTCGGTGGACGTACCGCAATGATTTCCGCAGCCACAGGCGCAATGGCGTTGCTGATGGTTACTCTCGTCAAAGATCATGGTTTACAGTATTTATTTGCCACCACAATTTTGACTGGAATTCTTCAGATTCTTGCTGGCTATTTTAAAGTTGCAAAACTGATGCGCTTTGTTTCACAGTCTGTCGTCTATGGTTTTGTCAATGCATTGGCTATTCTCATCTTTGTGGCGCAGATTCCTGAATTACAACGTATGGATCTGACGGCTTATCTATTTGTCGCCTTTGGCTTAGGGGTGGTTTATCTTTTCCCCTATATTCCCAAAATTGGTCAACTCATTCCCTCACCATTGGTGTGCATTATTGTACTGAGTTTAGCAGCCTTATTTTTGGGTGCAGATATGCGTACAGTTAGTGATTTAGGAAAATTTCCAGACAATTTACCGCTGTTTTTAATTCCAGACATTCCACTTAACTTGGATACCTTAAAAATTATTTTTCCTTATGCCATCACCTTGGCCACCGTGGGTTTACTCGAAACCATGATGACAACCACGATTGTTAATGAAGTGACCCAAACGGAAGGCGATCGTCATAAAGAATGCCGTGGACAAGGCATTGCCAATATGGTCAGTGGGTTTATGGGGGGTATGGCAGGTTGTGCCATGATTGGGCAATCGATTATCAATGTGTCTTCTGGTGCACGAACTCGCTTATCGACCTTGGTTGCTGGTGTTTTTTTACTGTGTTTAGTGGTCTTTTTAAAAGAATGGCTGTCTTATATTCCAATGGCTGCACTGGTGGCAATTATGATTATGGTGGCTTTTACTACATTCAACTGGGACTCAGTCAAAAACTTTTCAAAACATCCCAAACAAAGCAATAGCGTGATGCTTGCGGTGGTGGTCATTGTACTGATGACACATAACTTAGCTTTAGGCGTGTTGATTGGTGTACTTTTATCTGCACTTTTCTTGGTCAATAAATTAGAAAATGCAGTGCGTGTCCAGTCTCATCTATTGAACAGCACGACCCGTAAATATGAAATTTTTGGGCAAATTTTCTTTAGCAGTTCAGAAAAATTCTTTCAGTTTTTTGATTTTAATGAATCTGTTGATCATGTCATTATCGATTTAACCCATGCCCATATTTGGGATATTACCTCTGTCAGTATGCTCAATCAGGTACAAAACAAGTTTCTGCAAAATAACATTCAAGTTGAAATTATAGGGATGAATGAAGCAAGTCGTAGTTTGGTCGATCAATTTAGTGAGGTAAAATAAACAGCTTTATTTTTCTTAAGGCAGTGATGATCAGCGTTTAATACAGGTAAAGAATAATAGCCAAAATGGTAATCGCAATGCATTGTATCACTGCCAAATTTCTAAGGAATTTAATCATCGTAAGCTACATCCATTATAAAAATAATCCATTATTCAGCGAATATAACCGATATTTTGCTGTTAAATTGTGATTTTTATCTACTAAAATTTGAATATTTACTTAACTTGTCTCAATAACCTTATCTTAAAAAGTTAACTTGGTCTCAATAAATTGACTTTAGGTATTATTTGATACTCAGTAAGTGCGTTAAAACTCGATTGTAATAAACTGAATATTCACTCCTAATCACTGAATTAAATACTAAAAATACCTATTATCAGGTATAGATTAAGCCTTCAATATCTGAAAAACTAAGTCCAATAGACATGGGCGAGTTTTTTACATCATGAACAATGAGTTAAGTTTACCTGTTCCAGTTATCATCGTAGAAGATGAGCCGCTTATACAAAAAAGACTGACTGACATATTAATTAATCTAGGATACTCAATTTCAGATTTACGTTTTGCCCAAAGTTTAGCTCAAGCCAAAGAACAACTCAGTATACACTCAGCCTCTTTTGCATTGGTTGATTTAGGTTTGCCTGATGGAAATGGAATTGAGTTTATTGAAATTTTAAAAAACTATGATCCAACCATCATGATTTTAGTGATCTCTGCATGGAGCACTGAAGATGCGATCCTCAATGCATTAAGTGCAGGTGCAACAGGCTATGTGCTCAAAGAAAGAGATGACTTAGAAGTTTCTCTTTCGATCAAAAGTGTCTTGCGTGGTGGAGCGCCGATTGATCCATTTATTGCTCAAAAAATTTTAAAACAACTACACTTTAATGAAAAAAATAATTCAAATAAAACTGCACCCTGTCAGAAAGTCCCTGATCAGGACAGTGTATTATCCAAAAGAGAATTGGGAATTTTAGAACTGGTTTCTCAAGGCTTAAGCAATAAGGAAATTGCAGATCAACTCAATTTATCCCGTTATACCGTTGAATCTCATATTAAACATATTTATCGGAAACTTGCGGTATGCAACAGAGCCAAAGCCATCGATACAGCACGCAACTTAGGATTACTCGACTAATTCTAAAATTAATCGGGTTGTTCGGTCTTATGCTAAGTTTGACCCAGCATTTTGCTTTTGCTGGTGCTGCCTTAACAGCTCAGTCCAATACAACAGATGCAGCCTGTCATTTTCAAATCCAAAGCATACAAGTTGCTCAAGCGCTTGCAAATCTTGAACAGGTTCCCCAACAGGGATGGAAAACAGTCACGTTGCCAGATGACTGGGAAACGCGCTGGAAAAACTACACAGGCACTGCTTGGTATAAAATCAAATGGCAATATCAGTGTGATCAGGAAAATCAACCTGTCGCCTTACTGATTGAACGAATCAATATTGCAGGAGCTGTCTATAGCAATAATGAACTGTTATGGAAAGACAAATCCTTAGTAGAGCCATTGTCTAGAAGTTGGAATATGCCAAGATATTGGGTGCTTCCGGCTACATCTATTCAAAACCAACAAAATGAAATTTTAGTCCGTGTTGTAGGGGTTGCATCACAACATTCAGGTCTAGGAAAAATTAAATTTGGTCAGGCCGAAGATATCGCCATTCAACAAGATCAGCTGGTTTTTGAATGGCGAACTTTATTTTTTATCAATATTATTATTACCTTTGTGGTGGGAACTACAGGTTTTACCATTTGGCTATTTCGATGCCAAGAAAAAGCCTTTGGTTGGTTTGGTTTAACTTCATTTTTATGGGCATTGTTTGCCTATAATATTATTTCGACCATCCCTATTCCTTTTACCGACAGTATCTTAACAGCACGTCTAAATCTGGTATTTTTAGTTGGATATACCTATTGCCTCTGTTTATTTGCTTGGCGTTTTGCCAATCGCCATTATCCGTATTTAGAACGTTTACTTTTATTGACCTCTACAATCGCGATTGCGGCATTACTGTTGACACCGATCAATTATCTAGAACGTAGCTTATCCTCTGTCTTTTTCTATTCTGGCATGGTATTTATTTTTAATTGCTTGTTTTTTCAATGGATTGCTTTTAAACGTAGAAAGATAGACATTCTCCTGCTTGCGTTTATTTTCCTCATCTATTTACTTATTATTGTTCATGATTTTTATAGCATGATCCATCATCTGGATCAGACGCTCTATTGGACGCCATTGGCCGCACCAATTACCAGCTTAGCAATCTCGTTTATCTTGGCTTATCGTATTTCACAGAATGTCGGACGTATTGAAAAATTTAATCAGACACTTGAAAAAACTATTGAAAAAGTCACGTTTGACTTAGAGCAATCTTTAGATAAAAAGTACCAACTCGAAATTGATAATATGCGGTTGCAAGAGCGTCTAAACCTGTCTCATGAATTACATGATGGACTGGGTGGTTCAATTGTTCGCTCGATGATTATACTGGATCACAGTGAGCATATTGAAAAACAGCAAGTGATCTCTATGTTTAAACTGTTAAGAAATGACTTACGCCAAGTGATTGACTCAGGAAGCAGTGCTGGGGCAAAAATACCAGAAAGCCCAGTGATGTGGGTTGCGCCATTGCGTCATCGTTTTATACAAATTTTCGAAGAAATGGAGATTGAATCGACTTGGATTTTTGCAGAAAAATGGAAACATAAACCTCTTGCATTGATTTGTTTAACCTTTTCTCGTGTCGCAGAAGAAGCCTTAACCAATATTGTAAAACATAGTCATGCAACTGATGTCGAAGTTTCGTTGGTTGAAGATGAACGACAACAACTCGTTTTAACGATTCAAGACAATGGCATTGGCTTTGAAGTAGATCAGGTTCAAGCTGGTTTGCATGTGGGTTTGCAGAGTATGCAAGTGCGAGTAAAAAGAATTGGAGGTAGTTTTGAAATCCATTCTCAGCATGGTTTTACCGTGATCCGAGCCATAGTACCGTTGAAAGATAAAACTGAATGATTTAGATGGATGAAATAGAATTTCGACCAATATCATTCGCTTGATCTATGAAGAGATTCAGTCTTAAATCAGTTGGTGCAATTTTTTATGTTCTATAGTTTTATAAAAGCATAAAAAAAGAGAAACTAGATCACTAGTCTCTCTTTAAAAAAGATATCAGCGTATTAGGATTTCTTTTTAGAACGCGCTAATACTGAGGTCGCTGTAAGCAACATCAGTCCAAATAAAGACCACAGTCCCGTACTACCGCCACTGCTCTTATGCCCGCCTGTAGTACCACTTGATTCATTTAAATCTAAATCAACAATAACCGGATCGTGATCAGAAGAACGGAAAGCATCTGGCGCATAGAAAGAAGCAATTTGTTCTTCATTCTTATATTCTTCATTGTAGTCTAATGCTGTTGGTTCATCAGCATTGATATGCCATGCAAAAGTACGTTTAACCATTGGGTATAAGTTTGCATCTGCAATTGCATGATCTAAATTACCCGCACCACCATTCCCGGTTGCATCACGGGCCACACCAAACACATAGCTATATGCAGATTTACCTTGCCCTACTTTTTCGTCATTTAGCAATATTTTGTAGTTGGCTTTTTCAAATGCCAAGATTGGATCTTCTTTGGCATAACTGTTCATATCCCCGACCAATAAATAATTTGGCTTTTCAGCTTTGGTTGGGTTGGTTGCAATCCACTGAATCAATTTTTGTACTGCAGTGACACGAGTCGGATTCCAACAGCCTTGACCATCACCTTGGTTTGCTTCTGGTGAGGTTTTATCCTCAGGACAACTACCTTTAGACTTTAAGTGATTTGGTACAACAGTAAAGGTTTTTCCTCCCGTTACCGCTTGGAAGCTTTGTGCCATCGTGACTCGGTTTTTCTGTGTCAAATCATCATATACCACAGGATTACCAACAGGTTTTACACGTTTGCTATTATAAATAATCGCAACTGCAATCACGTCAGTACCCAATTTATCCATATTCGGTGGGATGACATATTTCCAATCTGCACCCAAAGCTTTGGTTAAGTAATTCACAGCACTTTTTTCGCCATAACCATTGTTGGCAATTTCCATTAAGCCATAAACATCTGCATCAATGGTTTTAATCGCACTGACTATTTTGGTATGTTGACGATTAAATTCTGTCTCGGTGTTTGCACCACGATCTGGTTTAACACCAATTAGCGGCGAATTGTCATAATTTAAGACATTAAATGCGGCAACACGAACCTGTTTACTCTCTTTTGCCAAGACGGCTGAATTCCGCAGATTGCTGTCTTTGACAACCTCAGGCAAGTCTTTGTTTTGAATCGGTTGAATACGCCAAGCATTAAAACGGTATTCCAAAATCCCTTCAACATTTTTAAGCTGATAGCCTGTACGTAAAGTGTTTGCCGCATTAAATGTTTGTGGCAACCATGGTGTTCTGTTTTGATTGTTATAACCATCATCCAAGATAATCTTAGACAATAAATTTTGTTTTGCTAAAGCAACCGCTTCATTGGATTTCGCAGGATATAAATTGGTTGGGATATATAAGCGTCCCAAACTTAAAGATAATTGACCATATCGACCATAATCATAATTCTCGCTAACCGTTAGGGTTTGAGGAATTTTCACCAACATGCCTTGATAGCGCTTAGGTGCATTGCCTGTAGCATCGGTTAAACTTGAAAATGGCAGTTGAATCGGAGTAGAACTCACCAAACTTGCGGCTTGATTATTACAAGTTTGAATATTGCTGCTCAGTTGATCAATTTGCAATTGATTTTCATAATTGGTTAAACGCCCTTTCAGAATCACTTCTTCACCCACTTTACCGCCAGTGATTGTGCTTGCAGCAGGGAGATAGACAAAGATCGCATTGCTTAAATTTGCTTTAGCTTTACTGTCAGGAGTTTGAATATAAAAACCTGAAAAACCATTTTGATAGCGATAATCCGCAGTAATGACACCTCGAACCACATATTGTTGGTTTTGTGCCGCAGATTGTAAATCTGCAATTGCAGTATCAGCAGTACTACAACTGATTGCAGTGATTGGCGGTGTCGTTGTACCAGTACCTAAATAGCTACTGAATGCATTACGATCTGACCATTTGCTCCACTCACTGTCCAAATCAAAGGCACTCTTTGGATCTACAGCGCTGACATCATTTTTATTTTTTATTCTGCTTAGGCTATTTTGATAGCTGGTGATTGTGGTTCCCCAGCCGCCACTTGCTGGTTTGTCCCCAATCCGTCCAAAACGGTCTACAGGTGTGCCTTTATACACAAGGACCAAAGCATCATCGCCATTAAATGACAAACCAGCAACCTGATTCACTTTAGTGCCAAGTTCTGCCTGTAATTCGGTACGACCTATAATAAATTTTGCTTTACTGGCTAAATTTCCCTCTAAGGTGTAAGTCGCTGTTTTACTCGTTGCCCCATTGGTATATTGTTCAATTTGATAATCTGCAAGATTTACAGTGCTGCCATCTGGATTATAAATTTCTAATCCTTTTCTATTTACTGTGCCATCGATGTATTGGCTAAACATCAATTGTGCATAGCTTGGAAATGAACAGCCCAATAATGCAAGGCTTAAACAAAGTGTATGTGGTTTTAAATTTTGCATAATTTTTAACGTTTGTTGAAATTTAAAGCAGATTAATTTTTATTAATGACAATATCGTGAATTTGAATCATTCTATTTGAGCCATTTATTATTTAGACAAAAAATATCACAGGTAAAGTGGACTAAAATTGTTATAAAGACCTTAGAAATACGAGATCTTATGCTGATCATGAAAAAGCACCCTTTCGGGTGCAAAACATGGAACTTTAAAAGATATTAAGCCTGCAATTGCATTTGCTGTAATTTAGCCACTTCTTGTTGCTTCAATAAATTACGTTGAATTTTGCCACTAGATGTTTTGGGTAAGCTTTCAACAAACTCAATTTCACGTGGGTAAGAATGCTTAGATAATCGTGAACGTACATATTCTTGTAATTTAGCATTCAATTGGTGACAACCCGTGAACTGAGGCTTGAGCACAACAAAAGCTTTTACGATCTCTGTTCTTTCTGGATCAGGTTTACCAATAACGGCAGATTCTAAAACTTCAACACACTCCAAAAGTGTACTTTCTACATCAAATGGCCCAACACGATAACCTGAAGTTGTAATGACATCGTCTGCACGACCAATAAAATCAACCCCACCTAATTCATTCAAACGAACCGTATCCCCAGTTAAGTAATAATGACCAATAAAGGATTTACGATTATTTCCACCATAACCTTTAAACCATGTGAGTGGCGATTGAGAGAAGTCAATTGCTAGCGTTCCAATCTCACCTCGTTCAACTTCTTGGTTGTCTTGATTTAACACTGCAAAACGATGACCAGGATTAGCAAAACCTGCTGAGCCGACTTTTATTGCATGTGCTAAAGCATGATGGTTACCAATCACCATACCTAATTCTGTTTGCCCATATTGGTCATAAATATTGACATTCAAGTCATGATTAAACCAATGAATTACTTCAGGTGTTAAAGGTTCACCAGCACTGCTGACTGCACGTAAATGAGCTTTGATCGAAGTACTAAATTTTTCTTTAAAGCCAAAGAACATACGAAATGCTGTAGGTGAACCTGTAAGATTACTGATTTGGTATTTTTGAATAATTTCCAAAGCATGGTCGACACTAAATGCGCGTTCATCCATGATAATACTGTGTCCCAATCCCAATGGGCCAGCAATACCATAATATAGACCATATGCCCAACCTGGATCCGCAAGGTTCCAAAATGAATCTTCTTCACGTAAATCAACAGCGTGACGCATATATTCCTTAAAGGCCAAAATCGCTTTTAATGGCACTGGAACCGATTTTGCCAAACCTGTTGTTCCAGAGGTAAACATCATTAAAAAATCATCAGCAAAACTCAACATGACGGGTGTACATTCAGCTGATTGACCTGCTAGTTCTTGCCAAAAATCTGCATCTTTTGTTGCTGCAAAATCTTGTGGATGAACAGTCAGAATATTTGGAAGTTCAATCCCGTTTAGTTTGGGACGTTGTTCACTGTTGGTGATGATCAGTTGGGTATTGGCTGTTGCTACGCGATGCTCAATCGCTTTTGATTCAAAGGCGGTAAATAAGGGCTGATAAATTGCTCCGATACGCCAAGTTGCCAATATGGTGATCAATAGTTCTGGAGTCCGTGGTAATAAGCCAGCAATACAATCGCCTGTTTTTATGCCTAGCGATTGTAAATAATTGGCTAATTTTCCTGATGCTTGTGCCAGTTGTTCAAAGGTCCATTGTGAAGACTCACCGTTTTTGCCTTCCCAGATCAAAGCCACTTTATTTAAACCGACAAAACGCTCGCAGCACTCGATATAGGCATTGATTGACTGTGGGTTGCCAACCAGTTGCTCATTGATGAGTTTTTCATAATCGAATTCTTGATAGGCTTGTTCCAATGTTTTCATGGCAATATCCTTGTATTTTCAGCACAAATCATCTCGATGTGCAGTTCCATATTTTGCTTTCTAGCTTTTCTAAAAATGTTGAATCATTCAACATGTGTTCCTATGCTTATAGATAACCATGATTAGAAATCACGCACAATTTCCAAATACCTCAATTATATTGCGGTTTTTGAACATCTGCTTTTCCTGTCATGGTGTAAGGCTTTAAAATAAAAAAGACCAGTGCGAAGCTGGTCTTGAGATAGAATTTTGATGCGCTAATCTACAATTGAACTTACTAAATCACCGCTCTTGCGATAACTAAACGTTGAATATCGGAAGCGCCTTCATAAATCTGACTGACTCGAACATCTCGATAGATTCGCTCTACTGGAAAATCAGCAACATAGCCATAACCACCATGAATTTGTATCGCATCTGAACAGACTTTTTCAGCAATTTCAGATGCAAACAACTTCGCCATTGATGCTTCTTTTAGACAAGCTAAACCTGCATCTTTTAAACTTGCGGCATGGTAAATCAACTGCCGTGCTGCTTCGATTTGAGTGGCCATATCAGCTAAGCGAAATGCCACAGCCTGATGTTGTACCAACTCCACTCCGAAAGCTTTGCGCTGATTGGCATATTCAACCGCAGCATCCAACGCCGCTCGTGCCATTCCCACACATTGAGCGGCAATACCAATGCGACCTGACTCTAAATTCGACAAGGCGATTTTATATCCTTCACCCTCATTTCCTAATATGTTCTCAGCAGGAATCCGACAATTCTCAAAAACAATTGTTGCGGTATCTGAGCAATGTTGTCCCATTTTATCTTCAATCCGAGAAACGATATAACCTTCTGTATTGGTTGGAACGATAAAACAAGAAATACCTTTCTTTGCTGCGGATTTATCCGTAACTGCAAACACAATCGCCACTTGTGCGTGCTGTCCAGAAGTTATGAATTGTTTGGTTCCATTAATCACCCACGAATCGCCATCACGTTCTGCTTTACATAGCAAAGCACCTGCGTCTGAACCCGCCTGTGGTTCCGTTAAACAGAAACAGCCAAGCCATTGACCTGTTGCCAATGGCATTAAGTAGTCTTGTTTTTGTCGGTCTGTCCCATATTTTTGGATAATTCCACAAGGCAAAGAATTTTGTACGCTGACAATGGTTGAAATTGCACCATCTCCTGCAGCAATTTCTTCAATTGCCGTCACAAGGAGATATAGTCCAAACCTGCGCCACCCCATTGATCAGACACAGTCATGCCTAATGCACCCAGTTCACCCAACTCTTTGAGTTCTTGCTGAGGAAATTTTGCAGTTTTATCACGTTCAGCAGCTGTGGGTTTAAGTTTATTCTGCGAATAATTTCGCATCATTTCCTGAACCATTTTTTGTTCATCATTGAGAATCATTTGAGCATCCCTCTCAGCACTTTTAAATTTTAAATCACTGCAATCATGATCAGCGACCAATCAAAATCTCGTTGTTTGTATAAATTTAGGCTAAAGTCTGCCTAACATGATGGTTTAGATCATGTCAGGCAGTATTCAATTTTTTAAAAGTTTGCTATTGCTTGTGTTAAAGCAAAGTTAGAAATAAGCAGATGGATTAGACCAGGTTACTTTGGCTGCATACGGATTGCGCCGTCTAATCGAATTGTTTCACCATTTAAATAGCTATTTTCACAGAATCGCACGCGATAATCGCTGTCATCTTCAGGGGGCGTGCATTTTAATTGTAATTGATTGAGTAAAATTCTTTGATCTGCTAACCAACAGATCAAACTGTGAATCAACATAATATAAGTGGCATAGCAGAACATACGCTTGGTTTGTAATTTGTCTGTAATGACAATGTATGCATAATTTTCATCTATAATTAGCTTGCTGGAGAAGTCATCCAAGACAAAATTAAAATATTGCAAAATTTGTTCAATTGCTGTGTGTAGCGTATCCGATTGCATGACCATTTTAGACAATAATTTATAACAACCGCGTCGCATCTGATGCGAGTCCATGCCAAAGAACTCATCATTCATATGGTCTGCTATTTTAGTCCACAGTTTTGCATAAGCGGAAACAGCAATACGTGATTTGGCTGCATGAAATATTTCCAGTGGTATTTCTGCATCATGCAAAATCTGCTGTATATCATAGCCCTTATCTTGGGCACGGCTCAGCGCTTCATGTACCAGCGCAATTGAAATTGTGCCTTTGCTTTCACTGAATTGTTGATTGTTCACAGTGTATTCCATTATCTTGTGATACGTGTTTTGTGACTAAAGTTTTCCAAAAAGATGTTTAAATTGTCCAAATACATCATACAGGATGCAACTTTTGGAAATTGTACTCAAGCTTGACTATGTTTACTCTGCATCTTAAGTCGAAAGTGGGTTTAATTCATCATTTAAACTGCTCAATTCAAACAATGAACTAGGAAAATAAAATGAAAATTGAAGGAAAAGTTTTTGTTGTGACTGGTGGTGCATCTGGATTAGGTGCCGCGACAGCCACACATTTGATTGGTCAAGGTGCGAAAGTGATCATGGTGGATATGAATCACCAGCTTGGCGAAGAAATGCAGAAGCGCTTAGGTGAAAAGTCCAAATTTGTTCAACTTGATGTGACCGATGAAGTTGCTGTTGAACAATTCTTTAAAAATGTGGAGCAGGATTATGCTCAATTAAATGGCTTAATTAATTGTGCAGGGATTGGCCCATCCGCCAAAGTACTAGGTAAAAATGGCATCCATGCTTTAGACGCATTTCAAAAAGTATTGAATATTAATGTCGCAGGAACATT